CACACGATATGTCCGCGGACATACTTACGAAGCCTCTCGCAAGAGACCTCCACTGGCGTCATATGGAAAGGATCGGGATGGAGACTGTAGTCTAGGAAGTACCTTTTTCGGGTTAGATATCAGGCCTGTTTGTTTGAAATGTTTTTCCTTTTGTTATTAACTGTTCTAAGGAAGAGCTGAGAGTATACCTTTCCCCCTTGAGACACTTATGGATAGGGGGTTTTACCGGTGCTCGATGATGTTCAAAGACTTTCCTTTATTGTTTATTTTTATTTCTGTTTTCCTTCTCACGGTATGGCAGAAGAGGGGGAGTGTTGAAATATGCTTCTGGCACTACCGTAGTATCACTCGCACTATTGATTTTCTCCTTGCATTAGTCTTTATCGCCATCTCAAAACCCCCTTGCAATATTGGTACTATTGAACATACCTCCTTGATTTCTTTTCTTCTCTCTGTTTCTGTTTACTTCCTACTGTTGATTTACTCGCAACTTGTGTCTCGCCCTCAACAGTAGATAGTCTGGGTAGTTTCCTCTCTACTGAGAAGTCAATTAAGCAATTCATTATTCTTCTCGTCACTCAACCAGTTCCAAAAACCATCATTCCGTTCTCACTGTTTCAACAATAACAACATCAATGCCCCTGGCCCAGCCCAAGCCCAGCAGGCAGCAGCACCTTAACCACACGTGCGCTAGCCACCCTTGCAACTTAATTCGCAAGGCTAATTAACACACCAGGGGGCCGCACTAATTCCAAACCTAATTCATTCGACACCATAACAGAATGGAAAGTGTAAAAAAATAAAAGAATGAAAGAAGCTATTCGTCCCACCCCTTTTCAACTCTCCAATTCACTAGTACTAGTAGATGGAAAAGTACGGCCCAATGGGGCTCCCGATCCCCTTCCCAAACCTATATTAGGACATCTCCTATATGAGAATTGAAAGACTCCTCCCCGGCTCTTCCTTGATACGTTCTCATAACGATTAGGAAAGAGGTGTTGTTGCTGAGGTGACTTTGGGCACACCATCCGGAGGCGTCTGCCGCCGATCTCGCGGGGGTGCTATTGGGGCATTGGCTATTTGGGGGTGCTGCTGCTGCTTCTGCCCGGGAGTCTTCTGGTCTTTGAATCCCTATCATAGCTTATTTTCTTGGCGCATTCTCTGCTGGTATGCTATATCACTTTTCGTAACCAGGTACGGTCTATATATAGTTTTGACAATCGCCTTAAGAATCCTTGCTCTATTGTACACCACATTTTTGCATTTAATCTATTGTTCGGGCCGGAGGAAAGGAAGAACAGGAGGAAAAAAACTATATAAGAAATGACATGTGAGAATGTACAGAGAGGATTAAATATGATAGGGTGAAATCTACAAAAAACTATAAACTCGGCCTCGGTAATAGAAATTTCGCCCCCTACCCCCATGAACCAAACTTCACAGAACTTTGTAAACAGAAACTCATAAATCATCGCCCAGCCGCGAAAGAAAAATAGCCAAAATGTGCTGGAGAGCATGACATATACCTGCATTCCCAGCTCAAGGGAGTCCCTCCGTCAACTACCCTAGGTTAACAGCATTATGTAACACCCCAACTTTTCCTCTACACCTAATCAATCAGCTGTTCTAATCCTTGTTTCGCCACCCAAAGTTTTTCCGACCTTTAACCATACTTGAGCAAAGTTGCTTTGTTTTCCATTTTTGTCCATTTTCCTTTGTGAAAATTTCCGATATCTCAAGCTGCGCAACTGTGCCAAATTGATAAACAAGAACAAGCAAAGACAAACAGGAAGACAAGAGTTAGGGTCTCCGATGCCACAGCTTCTCATGGGTTTTCCTCAAAGGCCACAGAATATCTCTAATGCCACAACATTTTAAAAGATAGAACGATTATCTGATAACGTTCCCCCCCTCCCGCCCTCCCCTAAGACATATATTAAGACCTGAATTCAATCATGAGTAATTCTCTCCTCCCCCTATCATGAGATAATTTTGGTTACCAGTTGTGTGGAGCCTCTACTTAGCAACCAGGGGGATGCCCATGCAAAGAAGAAATCTGGGTTGATGAGGTAAGACAACAGTAAGTTTTAACAAACCAAGTCGGGCCTCATCAAGCCCACTCCTTGCAGCAAAGCTTATTTCCTCTCGCCTAACTTACTCTCCTGAATCCTAAATATAGCGCTGCCCCTCAGTCCTAGCAAAGATTATATCAGCGAATACCTTCGCGTGAGACTGAACGGGGGTATAACGCCAGATGCTATGGATGACAGTTTAAAGACAGACATTTTAGAGAACGTCCCCAAAAATATGCCGGAAATGTAGGTAGGCAATAATACTGGAGACCCCGTCCTAGACTATTCACTAATAGATATGCATCTAGGTTTCTATTAGCTTCCCTAGTCTAAATATCGAGGCAATCTTACACGAATCGACAATCGTTCCGAGAAGAGAAAGGCTGAGCAAAAGGACAAATGGATGGGAATTAGGAGATTTTTTATAGTGGGACGAATCACCAACGATTGAGCAGATAAAGGCGCAGGGTGAGGACAAATCGAGACTTCAGCTTGGGATGGCAGCGTTGATGTACATCAGTCATGTGGAGCGGCTGTCTCCATGATTCCGGTTGTGGACCACTTGGATGGGCTGCTTGGAATGGACATGAGGGAGTGGTGAAAACACTGCTCGGGCGGGGAGATATCAGCCTTGACAAACCAGATCATGGCTGGCAAACACCGCTCTCGTTTGGCGCTGTGAGTGGACTCAAGGGAGTGATGAAAATATTACTCGGACAGGAAGAGGTCAATCTCGACAAGACGTATAGTAGCCCAACACTTCTCTGGTTGGTCGGTGAGTCCTGACATGAGGGGATGGTCAAAATATTACTCGGATTAGAAGAGGTAGCCCCCACCAAGATTGGCTGAGTTAGGTTAAGGGGAGGAGAAGTGGGTATTTTTCCAATGCTGTCATCTGGTGTAATATCAACTACACCACGAAACCACTTTTGTATCTTGCCGATCTCCCCGAGGATACCTAGAGACTCGGATACAGTTAAAACTCTTGTATTCCGCCATCTCTGCTATCCCTGTGATCTCTGGCCTCTGAGTCAAATCTTTCTAAGACGGACTGGCGGTTTCCTGTCATGGTACTCGTATATCCTAGGTCACTTAGCTGTGCTAGATCTAATTAACGTGCTTTCGCAATTGGGTTAACTTACTAAGCGAAACCCATCTGGGCTGATGTTACGATTTACAGGGATATTCGTCATAGGCCTGAGATGGCGGATTACTCGAGTACAAAAGTCTTTATGGTATGGCCTCGGGCGCTTGAAATCAACTCTCATGGCACTGTTGGGGGAAATTTCTGATTCAGGTTTTTTCCGATTTGAATAACTTTTGTATCAAGGTGAAGGTTTCTAGGGTTTTGTTATGATGGAAGGGATCATTTGGGAGTTGAGAGAGAGAAAAATTGCTTGTTGTACTTAGGGGATTTCTCCCATCTTTCTTTTCCATAGAGTTTCAACCGTGTGCGAACCCACGAAAAGAAAACAAGTCCTGAACTACGAAATCCGAACACCATCGAAACAAATATACGAGTGAAGTTGGAGTGAATTTAAACAACTCTACTATTTTAGATACGGGAATAAGCCGAAGGACTGTGCTGTTCCAATCTATCGTGGATCCTTGTTTGATTTTACGCCCTTTTGTTTTCATCTGTCCCCTGCTCTATTCGAATCCTCTTCAGACCAACTACGATTATCTTTTACCGATCCGACCGAATATTATTCTTTCAGTACAAGTGCCAGGAATAAAGTTTTCGTACGGGGCAGGGTTTATTTTGCGGGTTAACCTAAATTAACTGTTCGGTTACTTTATCCCTATGCCTTGTAATTCACTTTGCTTACATAATACACACAAATTAATACCGTAGTATCATACTTGGCAAAAGTAACTTCGAAAACCACCTCACATGGGTGATTCGAAATTTTACTATCTCCACTAATATTGCTCTGATTGAAAATCAGAAAACATAGAATTAGAGAGGGGTGTCTTTTGTGCGCTTCTATGAAGCCATATCTTCTTAAAGATGTGATTGTGGTTAAAACTTTTCAAAAATTATTCTTGTGTTGGTTTTTGTTTGGTCTCAAGTGCCTGGTATGAATACCATACTTGAGTAATCGAACCACCTGCTATCCCCAAAGGAGGTAGACTCTGTGAGGGCTCAGCGAGGCGACACCCTTAGCGAGGCATGGCATTTCTTGGCTAGCAAAAACCTGTCTACAGTGAAGCCTCCGATAACTCCACCCTCCGATATTTCCAGGTCTCCAGTATTTCTATCGCTTGTCGGGGGCAAGCTTCATTCCATGGGCTTTCCTCCTCTAAGTTCTAGGGTTCTGCTTGTTTCTTTTTCCAGGCGGTAAATGTTCCTAAATTCCAGGTTTTGTTTTCACGAAAAACCTTTTCATGTCACCTCCCGAGCAGAGCTGTAGACAAATTTCCAGATAACCAGAGAGTCAGTTGAATGGGTATGCATGTTTTTAGAATGAAGGTTCATCAAGTGGGAGGTGTATATTATCCTTCCGGAATGTGAACATGCAGATATAAAACCTGTACATTATCATGAACTATCACTCGTTTTCTCTCAGCAACCCCCTCTATTCTGCCAAGTCTATTCTTTATTTTCCATCCCCCCTTCACTTCCAGGGAATCCAGTCGCCCCATATCCTGGAGATAACTGAGGCTTTACTGTACTACTCCAGGACTTTGCAAGCCAAGAAATGCCATGCCTCGCTGAACCCTCACCTGGTCAAGTGTGTGCCGGGTAACTCCTGTTGCGTAAGGGAATATTTAAGCTCAGGGATTCTTTCCTGACGGTCCTCTTTCTCCTAATCCTCTACACTTCATAGACCGTGGGAACCCTCAGCGAGGTAGCACCCTCAGCGAGGCGCGGCGAAACTTGGCTGCAAAAGCTCCTTGATTTTAACTACAGCAGCAAGCCAAGCCATGCCGCGCCTCGCTGAGGGTTCACACGGTCTACCTCTCTTCACAATTCCAAGCAGGAAGTATGGCTCTCAACTTGACACGTCAGTTGTGTTTTCAGAGATGCTTTTTTCACCCTCCTCGCTTCTATCCTCGCACTCATCCCACTCGCCACTTCACTAAGACTACAAAGGTAAGTAAAACTTTCGATGGTGGTTCAGTGAGATATGCTAAATTGTTGATTTTATAAAAGAGAGCGATTGATGATGTTTTTGCCGAGGCTGCTATTCCAAAGTCCGAAGGTACCCGAGTCCTTTCCAACCGTAAGAATCGATTCACAATCAGTTCGGCACATGCTAACAGATACTCACAAAGGAAGTTGCAATTCACCGAAAGGCTATTACTGATGGATTTACGGAAATTAAAGGGTGGATTAAGACGATGATGGTGTTTGGCGGTGGAACTATTTTCTTCGGATTCGGATCGGTGGGTTCACCATTGCATACTTGTTTTCTGAGTTGTTTCGCTCACATTCATATCTACAGCTTGCCTACAAAGTGATGGTGTATGACGTTGATGCCAAAAAAGAAATGATGGCACATACCGCACGTGTCGTCCACGAGTCGGAGGAGAGACTCCAGACCCGCTTCGGTAGCCCCCTAGATAACTTTGAACAAAAAACCCAGGCCCAAATTGAAAACTTGAAGCTTGAGACGAAGTCGGAGATTGACAAGCTCGGGCATTTGGTCGAATTGTCTACCAAGAAACGCTAATGAGGCGCATTATTATGGGGGTGGAAATGGTGGTTAGTGCTGTTTTTTTCTTCTGTTTGTTAGAGGCAATCGGGGGCGTTCGTCGGAAATCTCCGTTAGGGAGGATTAGATTCAAATAAATAGAGTCTTGAAATTGCATTTCTATTCCATTTGTTGTCTTGGGGGGGGTCACGCGAAGCGGGCTGTGGAGCCCTTAATTCAAATATATTTATACTAGCTAAACCTATCCGGTATTCGCTAGTCCATACAAATCTACCTATCCCGTAGCACATGTGGAGCCCCATATACTCGTAGAAGCGTAGCGCTGGGTTGTGCATGCAGATACGTGAGATATACCATGAAAGCCTAGCTATCGTGGAGCTTGGGCACTTGTAATGTCAGCGATAATCCTTTCGTACGAGTACGGTGCCATAAGAACCGGGGAAATCAACCATCTCAGTCCGCCATGTGATCCCCGATCCCGAGTCCCTGGCTCCCGACCATGGGTATAAGGAGGTCACACCACTGGATGTGTTGGACGTCGTTAACTGTTATTCGCAATTTCTTTTAACCTGTCAAACTAAACCCAGCAACTCAACCACTCATGCCCTTCCGATATCGCAGCCGCGAGAAAATATGCCTCACATCAATTATGATACCAACTCCTACAACAATTCTCACTACTCATATAACACCAGTTCTCTCAACAACGAGATCGTGTTGAACGTGAACATTGGTGCGACCGACGGGAACTCTGAGATTCCAACATGGCTGTCTTCCCTTGAGCCCCGTATCCGACACCGAGACGTTCGAACCCTCCGTGCCGGCAATGCGGGGGTAGGCTGCTGGGGAGCGGGAAATTTCGGAGGTGGTGCGGCGGAGTCGGGGAGAATGGGTCTGTGCTTGCCACTTTATTTTGCTGTGGCGATCCAGCAGTTGGGGGGGGCATATTTCAGGTGAGTGGCACTCGTCGGAGGGGGCTCTAGGGGATGGTGGTGCTAATAACAAGTGATACTAGTTCACTTGTGATAGACGGATTATGCGATAAAGCCAAAATAAAAATATATATCGCTGTATCCTGTTTCTACATCGATTTCGCCCCGCGGGAGGAGCAATCTCCAACAAAAATACCCGGTTCACTATTGAAACAAATGGCTGGTGGACTGGAAAGGATCCCGGATGAGATAACCCAGACTTTTCGAGATTACAAAAAGGTTATATAATGATGATAATGTGGGGCATATCCGGATGGGGTTGAGTATGGATATATATCTAGAGGCGATGGACGGTGGTCTGGAAGCCGAGATCATCCGAACCATCGCCCAGAATATCCCTGAAACGTAGCTGGCCAGCATTATCCAACGTTTTATCACGCCTTTGTCACTAACAAACCTAGATTTCTACTGATTTCGTTAACCATGGATGCTATCCTTGGGGAAACCGCAGCCTATGGTAGGCGGCAAAGGCTCAGGGCACCGATGGATGGATTAGATTTGGAGGGTGTTTAAGGTGCGACTCTAGAGCGAATAAAAGAGCAGGGTGGGAAGAAAACAAGGCTCGGTATGGCAGCGCTGATGTGGATCTCGCATTCGAAGCAGTTGTTACAACTCGATAAGCCTTTCCACGCCCTAGCCGTCGAGATAGGATCTACAGACCCCAATCCCGAAAGGATTCCCACTGTGGCGACACAGCAGTTGCTTAGGGCTTGCTGTCATAGATAGGGAGGCTTCGACTGATCGCTTGATCCACTCCACTCCCCAGGAGTACCTCTTTTGGCGCAGCCTATGCGATAAGGGCAAAACCTGCTTCACATACCTCAATTTTCGCCCGATTAAGGAGATCCCGCCCACACTATTTGCCCTCCCTCAGTCTACTCCCTTCTTCATATATTCCTCCTTATACTGGGGGGGTCCACGCTAGGAAAGATGCTTCAAATGACATAGTATCACTTGAGCTCAAGCCTTTTAGCCGGATTGAAAGCCATATATCTTCTACCAAGTTCCTTTTGGCTGACCTCCTCTTGGAGACAAGTGGATATATTGGTGAGATTCCTGTTAACGACCATCTGGTCGGGTTTACTGGCCTGCATTGTGCATTGGTTTTTGGCAGTGTGGAGATTGTAACCCCTTTTATGGGTTAATCAAACCCCGATTTCAACAATACGGATTTTCTCGGTATTACACCGCTCATATGGGCTGCTCTGTGCGGGTAAGAGGAGATAGGAAAACTGCGATTAGAACAGCATATTATCATCCCCGACGAACCGGATAATTGCTTTCGTCGAACAGCACTCTCATGGGCCGCTAGGAAGGGACATGAGGTAATTGTGGGGCTATTTATTGGCCTGGGATCTGCCAAGCCTGATGGCACAGACGGTTGGTCGGGTGAGACACCGGGTGGTGAATATGATTCTTGGAAGGAGATATGTCAACCCCAACAGGCCAGACAAATATGATCAAACGCCATTTGTTGTCGGCAGTTGGCGTGGTTATCGTGTTTTGTTATATATTCTATCATGAACTCCGGGCGTATATCCGGTTGCGGCAGGCGTATTTGACTTCCCCGTAGCATAGGCTTCGAGCTAGTGCTACTACGGTTCTAGTTTCCAGTATTCCGAGAAAGTGGTTGACGGTTGAGGCGCTGGTTAGACTGTACGATGTGTTTGCTGGTTGAGTTCGAAATGTTTGCGTTAACCGTAGGTCTTCCCCTCTGGCCGTTAGGGTTGGGCTCACTATGTTAGTGATTATGAGGAGCTTCAGGGGAGGGTCGAGGAGAGAGATAAAATCGTCAAAAATCTCGAAGCTGTGGAAACGGAATCGATTAAAATGGCCAGGAAGAAGCAAATGCGGGAATTAAGTGAGAAGGATAGTTCCTCAGGGGAAAAAGCGCAGATTACCGATGCAGCCGTGGCGGAAGAGGAATTGCCTGCGGACCTGGCTTATCTTCTGGGAATCCCCACTAGATCCCCCAAGATCTCAATGATCACACGCGTGACAAGAGACCCAATAAAATCTGTTCGAGGTTTACTAAGGTCGGTCCCATCAGAGTTGTCCATGATGGGTTCTACAGACTCGGACACGGCGTGATCGGGGGCATTAGCACTATAACTGGGGGTGTAAGGCGGTTGAGTGGTCAAGTGGAAGATCACATGCCCGTGCGGCGTACGGATATCAAGCGGGTGGCGACGATTCGTCCACGAACCTCCTGTTGCTGGAAAACAAGCTCCCTAGCAACTTCGGGAAATTGGTGAAACATGGGAACCCGAAACTGGCGAGGATGGAGCACAGAGAAAGAGAGGATCAACACTTGCTCGCAATGAAGCTGTGTCTAGGGAGAATGGCAACGGCAGTCCTCAACGGACTCGGACCCTACCTACCACTGATCGAGCAATACCGGCGTTGCCAATCCTGACCCTGTGGGAAGTCAGCAGGCAGCAGGCAGCAGTCGATGCACCTCCTCGATGGATGTTTTGGAAAAAGACCCAAAGTCAGCGACGATCATGAGAACGACGATGATGAAATCCCTTCAACTACAGTTCACCTACATCACCGCATACGACTCGTTCTCTGGATTTACCGGCCGAAGGTCCTAGCAAGCAATATCCCAAGGCTTTCAACGAGACATACGCTGACGACAAACACGGAGACCCATTGTGGAAGCAGTACCTTTCATCAAACGATAGGCCCATGATGACTCTGCCCCCTTTTGGTGTGAAATGGTTGCCTTCTCTCCCACTCATTGGGAAGATGGTGGACACAATCTACTATTGTCGGAAGGAGGTTGCCCGTCTCAATGTCGAGATATAGCAGGACCAGAGCGCACCAGTACCCACTCATGAACTCTGCTTTTATCCAGTTCAACCGGCAAGTTGCCTCGCATATGGCCAGTCGCTTTCTCATTACATCCCGCAGCAGATGTGCCCTCGCCACATTGAGGTCTCTCCTGATGAAGTCATCTGGTCCAAAACGAAGATTTCTTGGTGGCAGAGGTATTTGCGCATTGCCGGTATTACTATAGCTGCAGGCGGTTTGATCGTTGGATGGGCTTTCCCGGTCGCCATTATTGGTTTGGTTTCTCAGATTGATTATCTCACGGAAACGGTCCCATGGCTGGGGTGGATTGATAAGCTTCCCAATTTTGTTCTTGGTCTGGTCCGAAGTGTTTTACCTCCAATGGGTTTGGCAATCTTGGTGGCATTGTTGCCCATTATCCTTAGTGCATTCGCGGAACTTCAGGGAAATCACACTGGTATGGCCATTGCGAGGGCTGTTCAGGAATGTATTTTGCTTTTCTGTTTATTCGGATTTTTCTCGTTGTCAATTTCTCATCCGGCATTACCGCCGATCTCCAGCAATTAACGGATAACACTGCATCTGCGCCATCAATTTTGGCCCAGAACCTACCGAAGGCGTCCAACCTCTTCTTCTGAGAACCTGCTACTACAAGCATTCACTGTTAGCGGTGGAGCAATTCTACAAATTGGGTCATTACTCGTACAATTCATTCCTAGTCCAATTGTTGACTACCGCTCGTCAGGAGTTTACCCCGGCGGCACGGCTTGCGCAGGCGAAATGGGGCACTCTCTTCCCGGTACATCTGGATTTGGGGCGCGTTGGGGTTGTTCACTCGGCCATCTCCCCATTGGTTCTCATCTTCAATGGCTGCACGTTCAGTCTTTTCTGGATAGTATATCGTTACAATCTTCTCTACTTCAACAACTTTCTCTTTGATACAGGAGGTTTGCTCTTCTCCAGGGCGGTCAACCAGTGGTTTACAGGAATATATGTTATGGAGGTTTGTTTGATTGGTCTCTTCCTTGTCCGGGATACCAAAGATCGTGTGTTTGCTTTCCTCGAGCAATTATCATGATCGTTGTCACGATCTTTACCGTCCTATAGTAATATCCTTTGAACTCGGCTTTCCGTCCATTGTTAACCCAATTGCCCATCACTCTGAAGGATGGTGCTGTTCTCCGCAGTGAAGCATTGGCGAAAGATAACGAAAGGCGAATACAGTCGGCTAGCGGCAACATCGTTCCGGAGGAGCAGGAATGCGAAGGTCTGAATGAGGGTTTTGCAGAGTGGGAAAAATGAGAGCGGCGCATGGATCAGCGTGCGGATGAGATTTAAATGAGGAAAATCCGCAACATCCGTGAAAAGAAGAAGGAAGGAATGTCGTCATTCTCAAGAGGCGGAAGACAGGCCAAGGGGCCAGACGCCAGAGACCCACAAATGAAATCGCGTCCTGCACCGCCATAGCAACAGCCGCATACTAGACCGAAGCTAATGTT